CATTGCCAGTTGTGGCCCAAAAAGCCAATATAAAAATTTAAAAAAATATGTCACTGTCACTATCACTGTCCTCCCGTTGTTCATCGATTTGCTCGAGTGAGCCCAGTAACGTCTCCATTGTGACACTTGTTACTGTGTTTGGCATATGGAATACGTCACGGGGAGCTTGCCAGGCTTTGCAATGCAGGCGAGATACTCTTGGTAGCTTGCCGGGCTCTCCAAGAGGGACGAAGGAATCAAACTCAGGTCGACCATGTTGGCCGCTTGCAAGGCAAATGCCCTACCCGCCGTGCTATCGCTCCAGCCAATAAAAGAAAACTAAAAGTAATCGCCCTTTGGATATAAAGCAAATGCCAAGTGCTCATGAGCCCAACATCTCACTCTTTCCTTTGTGGGTCTCCACTGCTGTTCTATCCAGACCCGGGATGAAATCACAGAGCTATGTATGACCCCCAATACCTGTGTTTTCCAGGGTGGGTGTCAAGAAACAGCTCGTGTTGAAGCTTTGCTGTCTGGTGGGGTATGTTCAGGGGAACCCTCTCCTCTGTCACTTTGATTCTCCTCCCTTACGACCACCCCCCTCCCCCAGGCTTCTGGTCTTGTATGTGCTTGAGCAGAAACCCACACTCATGGCTCACCCCACCAGGCACTGTCCACACACTAGGTGATGAGAAACGGAGACCCCTGCCCACATCTCAAACAGGCTGACACCAGAGAGCAGAACCTGCCAAGTTTCCTGCAGTGGAAGCCAGAAAACTAAGTCAGAAATGTTTGCAGCCTATCAACCAACCAGGTACTTATAGGGCAGGGCCCCGGGTGTCCAGGAGGGGACAGTGGAGGGAGCGCAGAGCAGGACAGTGACATGATCGTGTTCTGGAACCCCTGGAGAGTCAGTCGTCTAAGACACACTTCCTGCTTCTCTGACAAGACCCCATTGGCGTGCTTGCAATTCAAGTAAACAATGTAAGTGTGTTAGTTCATTGCCCTTTGGATAATTCAAGGCAAGCAAAGCCATCTTCCAGGACAAACATTTCCCCTGGTCCTTCCTCGTGCATTGCCGTCTCTGGCAGTCCGAGGTAGGGTTTCCGCAGCTTTGCCATTACATCTACTCGGGTGACATTATGTCCTGGTCCCCAGATGCTTCAGTTTGGACATGACTTTCCTTCTACCTTGGCACCTGGTCCCAGGTGCTGAATCCGCATGATTCTCTTACTGACCCTGAACAACTGCTGCCAAGACCCCAGAGCAGAGCCACAGCCCCTGCGAGCCCAGCCCCTGCGAGCCCAGCCCGGCTCCCAGCCTACCCTCTGATCCCTGAAGGGACCCTACCCATCCCATCTAAGAAATCGTGTAGGTACAATGAATGTTGCTTACTGATGGGAATGGCAGGCAATCTGCGTGGCAACAATCAACAGCTTCTAAGGGCCAAGAATAAAATTCTGACTCCTCAGCCGTTTCCTTGGAGGGGTCCCGACCAGCCCCCAGCGATCCACCCGAGTTTCCCCACCCTCTCCAGCCCTTTCCCATTCTTCTGCCCCACCCTTCATTCTGGATCTCCTGCCTGCCCCCAAATATGTTTTGAACTTTCGGTGTTGTTCTGTTTGTCTTGAACTCTACTCCTGGTCATCAGTCCACTTTGAAGTACTGTTCATTATGTGCCTGCCAGGTACCAGATCAAGGTTTTCTACTCTGTCATGCAAAGGTGAAAAGAGTTTGTTGTGGAGAGCGAAGTGGCCTTCCCGATGTCCTGCTCTTTATGATGAAATATGACCATTCACTGGTTAATCATTTTCCTCTTAGGGCAGCATGATCTTTATTGATCTTCATATCAGTCGCCAAAAGAGAAATTACAGGTTGAAGAGTAACGGTCATGGGGGGTCAGATAAGGAGCAAGTGCATAGGGCAAGAGGGTAAGGAGTTTGCCTTGCACACAGCTGACCCAGGTTCGATCCCTGGCATCCCATATGTACCCTGAACACAACCAGGAGTGATTCCTGAGTGCCAACCCCAGAGCTACCCCTGAGCACCACCAGGTGTGATCCCAAAACCGGGGGTGGGGGGAGAGTTGTGGCCATGCCCTGAGAATGCCAGGTTGGTGGGGAGGAGGAGACGGGACTAGGCAGCTGGGTACATCAGGAACATAGGTGAAGAGCTCCCAGCACATGGATGGGCTAAGGAGGGAATAGTCCAAACTAACTGTCAATCAACAAATAACAGGGAATGATTGGTAGAGAGGAATGTCTGACATTGGGATGGCGGGGGTCAAGGGCACTTTTGGTGTTGGGTATGGCAATAACTTTGTACATCAATACTGGAAGGTTTTTTGTTGTTGTTGGTTTTAGGGACCTACCCAGATGTGCTCAGGGCTTGATCCTGGCTCTGCACTCAGGAATTACTCTCAGTGAGCTCGAGGACCATGTATGGTGCTGGGGATTGAAACTGGGTTGGTCACGTGCAAGGCAAATGTCCTACCTGCTGTACTATCACTCCGGTCCCCAGTACTGGGAACCCGAACATTATTTTATATATTAATTATAATAACCCTATCACCTCAACTATAACAAGAAGTATTTTGTGTGTATAAATATACATATATGTGTGTGTGTGAATCATATATGTTGCTTCCGAACATCCTACTCACCAGTACACCAGGTGTTGGAAAAACCACACTGGGCAAAGAACTCACATCAAGATCAGGACTGAAGGGGCTGGAGCAATAGCACAGCGGGTAGGGCAATTGTCTTGCATGCGGCCAACCCGGTTTCGATTCCCAGCATCCCATATGGTCCCCCATCACCCCCAGGAGTAATTCCTGAGTGCAGATCCAGGAGTAACCCCCCGTGCATCGCTGGGTGTGACCCAAAAAGAAAAAAAAAGATCAGGACTGAAATACATTAATGAGGGTGATTTAGCTTGAGAAGTCTGATCACCAGGCATCATGGAGACTGACAAGATGGCTTCTCCCAAGAGCATACCAAAAGATGCACAGATGATGGCACAAATCCTGAAGGATATGGGGATTATGACTCTTGGCTCATAAGTATATCAGCTGAGAGTCATAAATCAGATGTTGGAGTTTGCCTGTGACTACAATTATAGATGATGCAAAAATCTATTCAAGTCATGCTAAGAAAGCTACTGTTGATGCAGATGATGTGCAGTTGGCAATCCACCGTCCTGCTGACCAGTCTTTTACCTCTCCTCCCCCAAGAGTTTTTTTTTACTGGGTATTGCAAGGCAAAGAAATCATACCCCTTCGCCATTGACCAAGCCATATTCTGACTCTAGATTACCACCTGATAGATACTGCTTGACTGTTCCAAACAAGTATTTACCAAAAAAGGCATCCACTTCTGCGGGAAGAATAACAGTTCCATGATTAAGTGTTGGTTCAGTTAGCATTAAACCAAGTACTCCTATACTTGGCACACGAACCCCACAATGTCTCTTGCAACTAAAGTAGCAGCAGCAGGTGTAATCCCTGTGCATGGCCAGATGTGACCCCAAACACCCCCACCAAAACAAAGTGAAATAATTTGCTAAGGCAATCAGTTACAGTCCCTATTTCCCCCCTTCTTCCTAACCTAGAGCCCAAGGCAGAGGGGGTTACCGGAGGACCAACGGTTCCACCGGAGGAACGGAGTTAGTCTACCCCCAGCGCTGCATTCTGAGACCCAGCCCAGCCAATGAAAAGTAAGCTACGTCACCAAGAGTATCACCAATGAGTGAGCTGTATCACGAGGGTACAAATGCGGTTCGAACCAATAAGGGGTTGAGCCGCATTACAAGGGCGGCAGGGACCAATGAGCGAGCTGCATCACGAGGCCCGGACCAATAAGGACGCGAGCAGCCTCACATGGGCGCGTGGGAACCAATGATCAAGCTGCATCCCATGAGAGAGGCGGACCAATAAGCAAACGCTGCATCACAAGAGCAGCAGGGACCAATGAATGAGCTGCATCCCCAGGCGCGGACCAATAAGAGGGTGAGCATCATCACACAGGCGGCAGGGGACCAATGAGCAAGCTACATCCCATGACAGAGGCAAACCAATAAGCAAACGAATCGCATCACAAGGACGGCAGGGACCAATGAGTGAGCTGCATCCCCAGGCCCAGACCAATAAGAGAGTGAGCATCATCACACAGGCGGCAGGGACCAATGAGCGAGCTGCATCCCATGAGAGAGGCGGACTGATAAGCGAACGAGCCACATCATTGGCAGAGACCAATGAGTGAGCTGCATCCCCAGGCCCGGACCAATCAGAGGGCGAGCATCTTCACACAGGCGGCGGGGACCAAAGAGCGAGCTGCATCCCCAGGCCTGGACCAATAAGAGATGAGCATCATCACACAGGCGGCGGGGGACCAACGAGCAAGCTGCATCCCGTGACAGAGGCGGACCAATAAGCGAACGAGCCGCATCAGAGGAGCGGCAGGGACCAATGAGCGAGCCGCATCCCCAGGCCCAGACCAATCAGAGGGCGAGCATCTTCACACAGGTGGCGGCGGGGGACCACCGAGCAAGCTGCATCCCGTGACAGAGGCGGACCAATAAGCGAACGAGCCGCATCAGCGGAGCGGCAGGGACCAATGAGCGAGCCGCATCCCCAGGCCCGGACCAATCAGAGGGCGAGCATCCTCACGCAGGCGGCGGGGACCAAAGAGCGAGCTGCATTCCATGAGAGAGGCGGACCAATGAGAGCACGAGCCGCATCCCAAGCGCGGCAAGGGACCAAGGAGCGAGCCGCATCCCCAGGCCGGGACCAATAGGGAGGCGAGCGGCCTCCCACGAGCGAGCGAGCGGAGCGCGGGAACCAATGAGCGAGCCGCGTCCCGAGGGCGGGGCCCGGGGGGCGGCCAGTGAGGGGCGAGCTGCGTCACAAGCGGCCGGAGGAGCCCGTCAGTCGGGGCCAGTCGGGCCCGCGCCCGGGGCTGCCAGCCGCGCCCTTGCCGTGCCCGAGGCGGCGCGAGGAGGCCGGCGGGCCGAGCGGGTGGGACATGGTGGACTACTACGAGGTGCTGGGCGTGCCGCGCCAGGCCTCGACCGAGGCCATCAAGAAGGCGTACCGGCGGCTGGCGCTGCGGTGGCACCCGGACAAGAACCCGGACGACAAGGAGGAGGCGGAGCGGCGCTTCAAGCAGGTGGCGCAGGCCTACGAGGTGCTGTCGGACGCCCGCCAGCGCGACGTGTACGACCGCTACGGCGAGGCGGGCGCGGAGGGCGGCGGCCGCGGGCGCGCGGGGGGCGGCGGCGGCGGCGGCCCCTTCCAGGACCCCTTCGGGCACGTCTTCACCTTCCGCGACCCCGCCGAGGTCTTCCGGGAGTTCTTCGGCGCGCGCGACGCCTTTGCCTTTGATTTCTTCGGAGACCCGTTCGAGAACCTTCTGGGCGGCCGCCGCAGCGGAGGCAGCAGCCGTCGCCCGCGCGGAGGCAGCCGCGGGCCCGCGTCGCTCTTCTCGACCTTGGGCGGCGACTTCCCGACCTTCGCGGGACGTTTCCCGGGCGCCGCCGACGGGGGCTTCACGGGCTTCTCGGCGGCGTTCGGGGGCCCCGCGGGGGGCCTGGCCACCTTCTCCATGTCCACCGCCGGCGGCGGCGGCGGCGGCACGAGCCACTTCAAGTCCGTGTCCACGTCCACCGAGATCGTCCACGGCAGGAAGATCACCACCCGGAGAACCGTCGAGAACGGCCAGGAGAGGGTGGAAGTGGAAGAAGACGGAGAGTTAAAGTCGCTGCTCGTCAACGGCAAAGAGCAGCTGCTGCGCATCGACACCCGGTAACGGCCGCCCGCCCGGAGGAACGGCGGGGACACACCCGCACAGCCACCACACACGCACACACACACACACACACACACACACACACACTCCTTTGTATCAGAAGATTGCAAGTGAACTCTACACACACACACACACACACACCCCTTTGTATCGAAGATTGCAAGTGAACTCTACACACACACACACACACACACCCCTTTGTATCCAAAGATTGCAAGTGAACTCTACACACACACACACACACACACCCCTTTGTATCCGAAGATTGCAAGTGAACTCTACACACACACACCCCTTTGTATCAGAAGATTGCAAGTGAACTCTACACACACACACACACACACACACACACACTCCTTTGTATCAGAAGATTGCAAGTGAACTCTACACACACACACACCCCTTTGTATCAGAAGATTGCAAGTGAACTCTACACACACACACTCCTTTGTATCAGAAGATTGCAAGTGAACTCTACACACACACACACACCTTTGTATCCAAAGATTGCAAGTGAACTCTACACACACACACACACACTCCTTTGTATCAGAAGATTGCAAGTGAACTCTACACACACACACACACACACACACACTCCTTTGTATTAGAAGATTGCAAGTGAACTCTACACACACACACACACACACTCCTTTGTATCAGAAGATTGCAAGTGAACTCTACACACACACACACCCCTTTGTATCAGAAGATTGCAAGTGAACTCTACACACACACACACACCTTTGTATCCAAAGATTGCAAGTGAACTCTACACACACACACACACACACCCCCCTTTGTATCAGAAGATTGCAACTCTACTTTCAGAACAGCCGTGCTCAGGTCGTTTATCAGCAGTTCATGCCAACACCCCTCTGCCCACCGCACAGTCGGACCCTTGCACAGAAGCATTCCCCCCCCCCACACACACACACATCCCTGTTGTCCAACCTGTTGTAAATGTCTGTGAGGCACGTTGCTATTTATTAAACATGACCCTGAGGTGCTCGGTGATTTCTTTCTCCTGCTACTTGGGGGGAGTGGAAGTGTCCCAAGGCACCTCAGTGGCAGGGGTGGCCTTGGGGTGGGGTGCCTTTGGAACTGTCAACAGGTCATTTCTCTGAAGCTGGGCTGGCTAAGAGAACTGGGCTTCTTGGCTATTTCTTTCAAGCGTAAAAGATAAGACTAGCTTTAGAATCATTTCCGGCTTGAAGATTTTTTTTTAATTGCTCTGTAAGTGATAGTGATATTATTTGATAGGTTGCTGCGCCTTAAACCTCGGCCTTGACCGCTTGGCAGGTGGGTGTCCTGCTCCATTGACTGCTGGAACATCCCCCCCCCCCAAAACCTCGGTGGTTTCCTGAAGGTGAGGTACAAGGAAACTTTAAAAGGGTGGAGATGAGAAATCAGAAATTGGTTTCTCTAAACCGAAATCAGTGTGGGTGGGACGGTGTCACTAGGCAAAAGGTGTCTCAGTTCCTTAGTCACCTGACAGGGAGAAGCTCTAGGACTGGACTGCAGTGGTTGGTGGTGGCTGAATAGTGCAGATGGGGCCATGGGAGCCATCCCCTTGGAAGGAAGTGCAGAAACATTTCTGTGAGGCACAGAGGATTGCCTCTCAGGCCTTGGCAGGTCTCCGTACCAAGTAGGGGTGAGGACCAGGAAGCACTTGGAAGGTTTGTTAGGCATACTGACCTCCCCATGCCAGACTAGATGGTTGCCCATTAAGAACCTTCTGGGCCTGATGGCCTGAGAGTCCACCAGCAGGGCTGCCATCCCGTTTAGTCATCTCCAAGGAAAAGGTTGGCAGAGGCGTGAAAGCACCCTGGAGGGGCTGGGAGCCTCCAACCCACACTCATAGATGGCAGAGGCCTTCAGTTTTGCCTGGCATGAGAGCGAGACTGGAGAAGGCCAATCTGCACAGGCGCATGTGCTTTGCTCTTCACAGAAGGGGGGCGTGGGGGGTAGCATAGCATGAGCAGCGTCCCCGTGGAACAGTACCACCCTACCCATCAAGATCCTGCTTGTGCCCACTTCAGCTCCCGCAGATAGAGACACTTGGCCTGCCCCTGGTAACACTGAGGGCCAGTATCAGAATCAAATAGGGCGGGAGCAATAGTACATGAAGAGAGCTCGTGCCTTACATGCAGCCAACCCAAGTTCAATCCCCGGCACCCCGTGTGATCATCCCAACCCTGCCAGGAGTGATCTCTGAGCAAAGCCAAGACAGTCCTGAGAACTGCCAAGTGTGGAAAAAAAAAAACCCTTTGACAAAAGTTCTTTTCCTTGCCAGGCAAGGGGAACTTAGACCAGTAAAAAAGTTAACTGGGTGGCCAGGGGCTGGGGGGGGGGGGGATGGAGAAAGGATGTCAGGAATTTTGAAGAGACAGGGAGTAGGGTGCAGTTTTGTAGTGGTTATGCTAATGAAGGGTGGAAAATCACTTGAATGGGACTGACTCTCAGTAATCTAAGTAATTGTATTTACATTGGTTAAAAGAAGAAAAGCCTCCAGCTGTGTCCAATGAGCACCTGCCAGTACCTCATTCAGAGACACCTGGGAGGGGCTCTCAAGCAGTGCTCGGGAGGCCTAGGGGTCACTCTCCTAAATTCTGCGAGCTGATGGTTTAATTCAAGAAACTGAGGAAGCAATGCTGCAAGGACCGGGCAGTGCCAGGGATCACCCCCACCCACATCTCAACCCAGAGCCAAAGGTGCAAAGGGCCTTCAGAGGCGGTGCCCCAGGGACTGGGAGGGGCTGGGATGGAACCAGGGCTGCATTGCCTAACTTCTGTATTATCTCGCTGGCCCCCGATGTCCTCATTTTTTTTAAAATACACGTTGAAAAACATAGGTTTATGATCAGGGCGGAGCGACAGCACAGCGGTAGGGTGTTTGCCTTGCACGCAGCCGACCTGGGTTCAACTCCTTCGCCCCTCTCGGAGAGCCCAAGAGTATCCCGCCTGCACGTCAGAGCCTGGCAAGCTCCCAGAGGCGTATCCAATATGCCAAAAGCAGTAACAAGAAGTCTCACAATGGAGACATTACTGGTGCCCGCTTGAGCAAATCCATGAACAATGGGAGGACAGTGCTACAGTGCTACAGATTTAAGATCGTGTTAACACTTATGGTCTTGATATAAGCTACCACACTTCTCACCATCAGAGTGCCTGGTCCCTCTGCCACTGTCTCCCGGTTCCTTCCAGTTCACTTTTTTATTTATCACCCCCTCCCCTGCCACCAACACACACACACACACACACACACACACACACACACACACACACACACTACTTGGTAATCTCAGCTTTGACTAAACAGCCAAGATTTTGTCATATCCTTCATTACTGTTTCTTGGGATTTTTTGCTCTCTAGATGACAGATGTGTGAGATCATGCGGTATTTGTTCTCTTCCCTTTGAAGGGTCACGGATCTTGAAGTGCTTTGACTAATTATAATTGTTGAGGACAAATAGTATTGGGCTTTAATGCTGGACTTTTTAAGCAGTATTCTGAATTTCAACTGTTATATTAGCTTACTTTGATTTAAAAAAAAAAGAGGAAGCATTTTCATAAAAGAATTGTCAAGCTTGAAAATCTCTTTAAAAACAAACAATATTGCACTGCTCTAGGCCCTGTATAATGAATATTCAGTAATGGGTGCGAGGCCTACAGGGCTCAGCACTTGATGTGGCCAGCGCCACCAATTCAGCTCACTTCATGGACTGCAGGCAATGGGGGTTGAGGGAAGAGGCTCCTCCCTCATCCTGAGAGATGCTTCCCTTCCAGGAACCTATTCCATCTCCCACAAGGGCCCTTCCTGTCGTGAAAAATTATCCACCTGACCCTCCTTTCTCAAGAATTTCTTTCTACTTCGATGTGCTCAAGAAACAGTGATTTGCTTTTGTCTTCTCCTGTAGGATAACACTGTTTTGTCCTTCCTGCATAGCCTCGGGTAGTTTAGGTTTGTTGGGTTGCTCCCATCACAGTGCTCCCATTCCTCTGTGTTTATTTGTAACTTCTTTCTTTGTGCTGTGTTGACTTGTAAATATTGTTTTTCTCTTCTCCCTAAGTCCTTTGCATAGTTTTTTCAGAGCAGTGTCTTTTTTGTATGGACACAAGAAGACAGTATATGCTATCCTTTTGTAATGTATCTCTCCTGGGCATCTGTTCTCTCACCTAAACCTCAGCTGCATTTACTTCCTAGCATCCCCACAAGCAGGGTCCCGACGAGGAACTGGATGGAACCAGGGCAAGCGGTAAGCTATGTGCTACCCTGGCATCGAGATAGGCCTGGCCTCAGTGCCATAATGCTTAACTATAAGTTAAGAGCTTGGTCATGGACAAATGCTGTCATGATCCAAAAAGTAATAACTAGATTTGGAACCATGGAGAGGCTAGCAAGGGGGACAGAGAGAGAAGAATGTGGAAGAGTACAGGAGCAGGCACGTGGAGAGAGAGAGACCAGACTGCGAGATGGAGCGCGGAGAGATGAGCGGAAGAGACAGGAGAAGACAGGAATGAGGAGCAGCGAGAGACTAGAATGGGAGGCTCAGAGAGACTGGGGCAGGTGCATGGGGAGAATGGAATAAACGGCAACGAATCAACCGGCTTGGCCCTTGTCTCCTCCACCATCTGCCCCACGGCCCGGGGCTGCCCTGGCTGCGGGAATGGCTCTGACCCACCCTGAACAAGGGAGGCTAGAGGAAGAGCTGTGGGGGGGGGGGCCTGGCCGCCCTCAAAGACTTTTTTACATTCTCCCTTTAGATCTGTTCACTTAACTTTGCTCATCACCAACCTACTGAGGTGACACTGGCAAAGAGTGGCCTGCAAACAAGTCTCTTCTCTATGTTTGCACCAGCAGCTGGAGTTTGGACTGTTGAGTAATGGCAAAACACTTCCTCTTATCAATATGCTACTCTCAATCTCCTCGAGCAGAAAGAAGCCCACCAAGATGGAGCACTATAAGAGAGCTTCTTGGGGCCGGAGTGACATAGCACA